TGAACCTCGAGATATGCAAACCAAATCTAACTGGTGACACTTTGCTCCCAAGGACACTGGTTAGCTCTGTCAGGCTTCAGGTTTCTCTTTACAGAGAGAAGAGAAGTTTGTGCATGTTGGTGCCAATGCTCTATCTGTTCACTAATGTTTTTCTGTATGACCAGCACGAACCCCTCTGTAGATACCCTTGGTAGTTTCGAGGCCAATCTTAATTTCAAATCAATAGTACCACAATGATATTTGGGGGGGGGAGGAGAGTGGGGAATGACTCTATATGGATTCTAAAGCGTGCAATATTTGGGGGAGAGGGTAAGAATTTTTTTGGAAATATTTTAAATTTTATATTGAAACTACTATACTCAAGGTGCTTCAGGCCTGAACATTACCATTGTTACTGTTGGTCATTATGTAGTTAAGTGTAATCATCACCATTATGCTCTCAGCAGCCTCTGTCACCGCCTTAGCCTTTAGAACTTATATTAGGACAGGGATTGGCGCATGTGCCAGAGCATGGCATGCAAGGCCATTTTGCTTGCCATGCTACCACCTGCCTGAGCTCTGGGGAGCTGCTGCCAGCCATGGAGCCTGGGCTGCTCCCAGCATGTAGCTGGGAGGCTGCAAGCAGCCTGAGCTCCATGGCTGGCAGCAGCTACCCAGAGCCTGGGCTGGCTGCCTGAGTGGTGCCAGTCTCTTCCCAGAGTGGGGACTTAGTTGCAGGCAGGAGCAGGGCAAGCAGCATCAGCTTGTGTGGCACTGGGAGGAGCAGGCTCAACTGTGCAGGGCAGGCTGTACAGGGCAGGCTGCACTGGGAGGGGTGGGCTCAGCTGTATGGGGCGGGCTGGGCAGCAGCCCAGGCAGTGCTGGAGGAGTAGCTATGCCACTCCCAGCACTGCCCGGCCCAGATGAGCCCGCCCCACTCCCACCCAGGTGGTTAGTGCTTTTCTCTCCTCTCTTTTTCAATTCTTTCCCTCTCTCTGCCCCATCGCCTTTTTCTCTCTCTTTCTTTCTCTTTCCGTTTCTCTTCACAACATGCTTAACAAAAAACATACACAACAAAGGTAGTATATGAAGTTTTATTTATTGTCACCAGGTTTAGAATTTTTAGAAAACGTGGTATTTGCTGTAAAAAAACAAACAAAAAAAAGAGCAACATTTATGATTATTAACTATATGAAAGTGCAGTGCATCCTATCATGTACCCCACTTTCCCCCCGTTTTGTTTTTCTGGTATGCCAGCACTCCAGCACCTTACAAGGTAGACATTATGGGTTTTTTCAGCACTCCAGCCAAAAATGTTTCCTATCCTTGTATTAGGACATTGGATTAGAATACTAGAGTGGATTAACTTTGCCTGGAGACTCTCAGAAGACAACTTAATTTTGATTGCTACAAATTTTCTAGGCAGAATTTACCTTGACCCCATACTTGACATGTTAGTAGGTGCAGTACTCAGCTTCCAGCATAAACCCATGTCATCCAAAAATTCATTAATTAAAAAAAATAAAATTATTGGATTCTTTAAGAAAAAAATCCTTTAAGGAACAAGGTAGTGAGTGTAAATATACAGAATCCATTCTTTATGGTACAAGATGGGGGGGGAACAAGCTTCCTGTCAATGTAACGCAACACGTATATCTTTAAGCATTAAGTCTCATCAATATAAGACAGGACACCATAAGTCATGTACAATTTTACTCTTAAAATATGAACACTATAGATGTAAACTTTTCAGTAACCCCCTGTAAGGGAGGGCATATGGATTTGGAGTCATTATAAAAGATGCCTCAAAATAAAAAGTGTATACATACTTTAGGCATTAAGAATGGAGTCATATTGATATAATAAGAATCAACACTGCCTAATACCATTCCAAAACTTTCCCTGACTAAGCAGATGCACTTTCCCCGTGCTGGTAACCAAACTAAATGATGGGAGATAATTGGCTGTAGTTCTATCAATGTCTCACGGTATTTCTCAGGACTACAGTATGTCTATAGGTTGAGATCCTTGTGTATGGCTCTGGCAGGTGAATTTTGATGCACAATGACTCTTCAGTTATAGCAATTGCTATAGAAAACTGCACAGAAAGCTCTTCCAAAAGCCTGGTGCAAAGGAATGATGGAACCTCAAAGTGCCAATAATTGACCACTTTTTGATGAGAAGAATTTAAGTTTGAACTCTATCCAGTTTACGGACAAGGTGGCTAACTGCTGCCAAGTTATTAAATGAAGGTTATTTAAATCCAAATCTTGCTTCTCAGATTGGTTAACCACAACCTAATTTATTATGCTTCCAAGTATATATAACCAACATCATCTGGGGGCCCAGGTGAGGTGCTCTACTGATTGCTACAGATTAGTGGCATTATTGGTTTATATTGCAAAAATCTTACATATCAATGCATACTGCTTTTATACTGTATTACAGGGTCAGCCACATTACTTGACAAAGACATGTCAGCAGTGTCACATTCTCAAGTGTACTGCAACAGACATGGAAGAATGCAGACATCAGCACAAAGGAACAAACCCATCTAAGAGCAAACCTTGTCCGACAATGGCAAATTCTGGCAGCTTTAAGAGAAATTCTCCCTGTACCAGTTCTCCGAATTTGGCAATATTAGCACTAGGGTGATACAACTTTCTGATGCAAATTGTTTAATTCTTAAGTGAAGACAAGTTCACTCAAATTCAGCCCATTTCTGTTCAAGGAATAGTTGCAACCAGATTCTTATTTCCTTTAAATTATCTGGATTATTTCCAGTCCTATCCCACCCCCCACACCCTCCCCTAACATTGCTTGATCATATTACATAACATTTTTGTTGCTCTGTAGTTGGTTAAGTATAAATTTGGGAGGACAACTTACGGTACTCAAAAACACTATCAGATTTCTTTGCTGAAGATAGCTATGGAGAACAAGGAACTCCAAGCTATTTCCCTTGAAAGAACATATAGGCATTGCCGGAGGCATCATTTCTTGCACAGTTAGGCTACGTTGACATTTATTGGCCAGTTGCAATATTTAGATTTCTTTCTTATAGTCAAAGTAAATGTGTGGGTGGCTCTACTCACAAAGCTTGCTGTTGGTGCTTGTCTGCATTATTTAACTGCCTGTAAAACTGGGTTCCTTTGGAAGGGTTTTAAGAACAGCATCCCACTCTCCCTGCTTTCCCCTCCACTGTATCCAGTCTCAATCACAATAAAATATCCCTTGTTCCAATGCTGATTCTTGAATACGAGACTGAAATTTACCAAGTTTACCTGAATAAATCTTTGGCGATACAAATACCTGGTGAATTAAAGTGTGCTTGTACTAAGCATTCATTTAGTACTAATATAATTTATTTTTTGAAGTTCTGAATTTCAGCTAATGTATGAACCCTGAATTCCATAAAGCAGATGTAATGATGAGGTATAAGAAAGCTTCATGATTTCTGCAGTCTCCTTCATTAGTATATCCTCCATAGGGAGGTGAAAACTAAATTTACAAACTCTCTATACCCAAGTGGTTTTAATTGTGCCTTGTACTTGTCTACATTGTTTCACCTGCTGTTGTGTATATTGGGCAAGACATGATGCACATTTTCTTTACCTACCTTTTGGAAGCACTGCTAAAAGATTAGCATCAATATCTTTTGTGCTGTTCGCAAATTCTTCTTTATCTTCCACTGAAAACTCTCTCTGAAAACTGAAAACAGCATCTGGTTTATAGAACTGAGCAGTGGAAATTTCAACTGCAAAATCAAGTTAAGCTAAGATTTTTATATTTATATATAAGTTTACTGCAAAAGACTGTAAATGTAGAAATGTCAAGAGGTATATTTTGCCGAGATTTCAAGAGACACATGAACAAGGTCAAACTCTCCCTAGCGGGACAAATAATAGAAGTGCAGAGAAAAGCTATCCACGTGCTACAGCAGGTTTTATGTGAAGAGAAATAACAATAGCCTTTGAAACTGAAAGCAAAGGCAGCAGGCCTAAGACAATTTGGTACTCACACATGAGGTGGCAATAGTTTATTCTGCATTAAGCTGATGTAAGAAGACAAACTTCAGAATGCCACGCTAGTTATTATAGGGATGAAATAATCTGCATAGAATCATTCTTCATAATGAATATTAAAACAAATTATTTTACACAATATTGTAGGTTATATTTCTTTTTTAGTATTGTATTATACAATCTAACAAAAGCCCCTCTATAGAAATACTCTTAAAAAAAAAAGAAAAAAAAGAAAACACGTGTTCAATTAATAGCTAAATATAGTGTATAATGAGCTTAACTTAGAACAGTGGGCTATATATATTTTGTGCTTTGTAAAGAGAGCTCATCTGTCCAGCTAGCCGAGAAATCAACTTTTTCGTAAACATAAATATTTAGAACTGGAATCTGTATACAGCTGTTATACTCCCAATGGCGATCTCTTAATTAGGTGGAAATGACCTGTTGAGAAACTCCCCCCTCCTTGACATTTTTTGCTTCTGGTTAGAGGAATTAACATGACTTGTAATCTCAAAATATGAAAATATGGGAGGCTTGATATGTGCTCTAATTCTGAATTCTAGTTTACCCTTGCTCATAATTAACACAGACATGATTCTGCAGATCTTTAGCAATTCTATATGGAAAAAAATACACTTCTTTGGAGAATCTGCATTCGTTGTTACAAGGTACTACATTTTCCAAGGACTGTGGCATGTAGGATAAATTACACTCCTGTCCCAGTTTTCTCTTCTGTTGTCCCAAGAAATCTGTTCTTATGTTTCTAGTTGCTACCCTTGATAGACCTAGGTCCACTGCAACTGGCATAACCTGCCTCAGACAGAGGAGATGATGAGGGGGAGGACTAACAGAGCATGCCCAGACTTTTTTCCTTTCCCTGCTCCTTTCCCATTGTAGCTTCCAGCAGTCAGAGGCTCAGGAAGTTCTGACTGAGAGGCTTTCTCCACTATCTACAATTGTCAATACCTACTGATGGACCTTTCCTCCAAAAAAATGGCCCAAACCCCTTCTGCACTGGGTTAAGCTACCAAATCTCCACAACTTCTGGTCCATCCCAAAGTATCTTTTTCTCTAAACTGAAAAATCCTAGTCTGTCTCTCCTCAAAGGGAAGCACCTCTATCCCCTATCATCCTTTTTTCCCCATAAGAGTACACGGTTGTGTTAATCATATGTTTACGCTCCCCAATGGATTTCACTGGGGCATAAGCATACAGGAATAGGATTGGATGGGGCCTCCTGGGTTACTAAGCGTGCAGTTCCCTGGTCTCACAGGCCACTACATCATACGATGTCTTGAATATAAACTGAATCATGCTTCATCTTCAAACTACATTAGGTCATTTGCCCTATTACTACCAAAAGGCTGCTCAAAAACCTCATTAGAAATTACCTACAAGTTTCTGACCTAACTTTGTTCTTGACAGGTTTGCTCCACGCGTTTCTTCTAGTCCCAACACTGTCCTTTAGACTGAATTGCTATTTTCTGCCTCCAGTGTTTGTGCCCACTCATCGCATCCACAGAGAAGAGTCACATCCCTCCTTAACCTTTGTTTTTGCTGGAGTAAAAACCAACCTCAGCCTCTCAAGACAGGCTCTTTGTCCTTCTGGTCATCTTAAATTTATTTTTGAACATGGGTGACCAGAATCAAACACTAAATTTAATCCTGATAAGATATCAGTGTCTTGTAAAAGCATGAGGAGTTAATGAAAATGCTGGAAGAATTGGATATTGATGGTAAAGAATTGAGAAGCTTAAGAAACCTCTACTGGGACCAAACTGCAGCAGTGAATATAGCACATGAACTAAGTGATTTCATCCAAATTAAGGGCGGTGTGAGGCAAGACTGTGTTTTTATCACCTGACTTGTTCAACTTGTACAATGAGAAAATCCTGAGGGAGACTGAGGATTTACCAAAGCTGATCACTAGTGGACAGAATTTGATCAACTATGCTGATGACACAGTCTTAATAGCTGATTCAGAAGGGAAGCTGCAAGGGATTTTAGATGAAATTGTTAGAGAAAGTGAGAAGGGTCTAAGTATTAACTGCAGGAATAGTTAACTAAGTATTAACTGCAGTATTAACTGTATTAACTAAGTATTAACTGCAGGTGGAAGCTACTGATTAACATCAGAAAGAGACAGTTAGAGTTTCTCAAACACATTATGAACAAAGAGGAAGTTGAAAGTCTGGTCATAACTGGAAAGACTTAAGAAAGGAGAAATCATGGAAGACAGTTTGTCTTATATCAAGGGTCTATCTAAATGGATGAATGCATTGACACTGGAAATTCTGCATGCTTCAAAAAGAAGAGCTCTGTGGAAGAACATGGTCACCAACATCCTGTTTGGATATGGTACCGAGAGAGAGAAAGGCTTGTAAAATGGCATTCCAGACTTCATATCTTTGCTGGAAATGCTTCACTCCATTTTAGGATTCTTTTTGCCTTTCTTTCAGCAATAGCACATTGATGGCACCATCATTTTGTGATAGACTAATACACCACAGTCTTTTGCCTCATCTGTTGTTTCCAATGATGACTTTATTCATACAAGGTTTATGGTTAGACATTTAGTCTATTAAACTCCATTCCATTTGTGTTATTCTAATCCTTTCTTCTCTTAAGATCCTCCTCCATATTGAGAATCTTTCAACTTTCCCTCAACAACAAATTAACAGGCTTGTTCGTTACTTGCCTTTGTTGCAAAAACAACAGTAATGTATTAAATTCAAGCCTTATCCTTAGAAAATTCCATTAATAGCTTCCTTCCAGCCTGATGGTTCCTCTTTCAGCACAACCTGGTCTTCTCTCCTTTAGTTCATTATCTACTTTACAACAGTGGTATCAGACCTCATCTCCAGTTTAACTCAATTTCCAACATGGTAATTCACTATTTGATGAATAGTGCTATAGCACTATTTCACTATCAAATACTTTGCTGAAATCCTAGCAGAATATGGTTGCCATGTTTTCCTCAGCTAGAGGAGTCAGTTATCCTATTAAAAGTAGCATATTAGTTATATCTTATGCTTACATGTTTTCCTGTAATGGTCAGTTAGTAGGGCTGTGTGAAATTTCATCTGGTGTTTAATTTCAAAGCCGTTTCAACGCGTTTTGAGCTCCAAACAGCAACATCGAAAAGAAACAAGAGCCTTCAAAACAGCTTCAAAACAAAACAAGAGCACTCGAAATGTTTAGAAGGTTTTGAAATGTTTCGAGTTTTGAAGCCAGGCTTACTTGGCTTCAGTGCCGTTCCCAGCTGGCAGCAGCAGCCTCCGGTTATCCAGCAGGCAGATCAGGGGTTTGCCCGCACCCCCAGGAGGGCTGCAGGGGCTGTGCCGGACTGCTCCCAGGGGTGTGGGCCCCTGATCTGCCTGCTGGATCACAGGAGGCTGGTGTTGCCAGCTGCAGCCAGCAACAGCACCGATCTGCCTGGCACTGGGTGCGGAATGGGCGAAATGTCGAAACAGTGAAACAGTTTGGAGAAAACGAAACGAAACGCTGTTCCTTCGAAACAGAAGTCGAAGTGGAATGGTGCCGTTTTGCACAGTCCTATCAGTTAGCACAATTTTTTTTAACCTTAGGTGGGCATATTGTTTTTCCTCAGTCCCCCTCTCAGGCCTCAAGCAATCTGCTTTATTTTAAGCATCCTCTATGTGGAAACATGTATGCTGCATATCAGGATGGCAGCAGGTCAAAGATGTAGTTTCCTCTTCTGTAAAGAATGGTCAGGCAGATTATGCAGTAAATCACTGAGGGAGCCAGGAACATTTGTCCCTTAATCATTATGCTGCATTATAATGCTAGTTCGAAAAAAACAACAACAAACCCAGCAACGTATAACTCATTGCAATCAAATCAATATCAGATAGTTCTTTGCTCATGCAGTAGGTCTACACCTAGAGAAAAAGGAAGATGCTGCTTTTTAAATTTGATACATAGTTGAGCCAAATAATTGTGCATGAAAAGATAGTCACAAAAGAGAAAGTGGCCATGTTTAAGATACATTAGAGCATAAAATAAAATGTATTACCACCTATATTGAGGGAAGAAAGTGAAATTATAGTAACTCAAAATACTGTAGTGGTGAGGTTTAAAAAGATATGCTGATGCAAGCAGATTTCTCCCCTCAAACACTACATTTTTCCAGGAACACATCTATTTAGATATGTTCTTTGCTCTAGTAGTTATAGTTTTCTGCTAAAAGTACAGTGACAACTCAAGTATAGCTGTTTCTGTTGGGTCAGATAGATTTATAGATAACCTACTGCTTTAAATGTTTTTAGCTACCTCCACTCCCCCACACACAAGTCAATAAGTTTTGGAAATATTTAACTCCATTACACTAGTGATTTTTTTTCTTTTTTCTTACTTCCTTTCCCTTTAAGAAAACACTCTTAAGTCATGTAACTGAATTAGGTGCAACTTTCCAGCAGCATGGGAAAGTTGAGTTTGTACAACTGTCAAGGCAGCCTTGAGCAAAACAAAAATGACTATATGGCTCTGGGTGCCAGGGTAAAGGGGGCAGAGGCCCAGGTGACGTTCATGTTGATCCTTCCAGTCAAGTGTAAAGGCACAACTAAGAGCAGAAGCATTCTGGAGATCAGCATATGGCTGTGTACGTGGTGTTGCTAGTACATGGTCCTTTGACCATGGAGTGGTATTCCAGGAAGATGGTCTGCTGGGAAGAAATGGGGTCCACTTGACGAAGAGAAGAAAAAGTATCTTTGTGTGCAGGCCTACTACCCAAGCAAGGAGGGCTTAAAATTAGGTTCACCTGGGGATGAAGACAAATGCCCCGAGGGAAGTAACAAGTCTGGGAATTTGGATAAACACTTACTATGGAGAAGCAATTGTGGAAGGCTTAGCAATGTTCTCAGGGATAAGATAGGACAATCGGTAAGATACCTGAAGTGTTGATATACTAATGTGAAAGGCATGGAGAACAGAAAGAAGTGGAGGTCCTAGTACAAAGCACAGAATTCTGATAAAATTGGGATTACCAAGATGCAGTGGATAATTTGCCTGACTGGAGTATGGTCTTGGATGGATATAGCTTGCTCAGAAAAAATAGACCGCTGAAAAATGAGGTGATGTGACGTGATGGCGATGTACACGTTGTGAGCTGTAGTACAAAGTGGAAGGTAGATCTCTAAGTTCAGAGGGGATAGCAAAAGGAAGGATGTTGTGGTGGGTGCCTGCTACAGGCCACCAACTCAGAAGGCGGAGGTGGACAAGGCTGTCTTTAAAAAAAATGACAGAAGCTTCCAAATTGCAGGTCCTAGTTCTCATGGGGGGCTTTAATTGGGACATCTGCTGGGAGAGAAACAGCAGTGTACAAGCAATGCAGCAAATTCTTGGAGTGTATTGGGGACAACTTTTTAATTCAGATGGTAGAGAAGGGGGAAGCTCTTCTTGCTGTTTGTAAACAGGGAGCAATTAATTGAGAATGTGAAGGTAGAAGGTAACTTGGGTGACAGCTACCACAAAATGATAAATTCACTATCCAATGGGAAAGAAAAGAAGGAGAGCAGCAGAATAAGAGACACTGGGACTTCAGAGAAGTAACTAACAAACCCAGGAAATTGGTGGGACAGATTTCCTGGGAGGGAAATCTGAGGGGAAAAGGAGTCCAGGACAGCTGGCTGTACTTTAATTTTAACAATGCAGCCTTACGGGCACAAGAGTAAGCTATCCTGAAACAACAGAAGAATGGGAAGTGTAATAGGAGACCAATCTCTTCAATGAACTGAAACTCAAAAAGGAAGCTTACAAAGTGGAAACTTGGTCACAGTACTACAAAAGAGTATAAGAGTATAGCATGGGCAGGCAGAGAAAAAATTAGAACATCGAAGGCACGGTTTCAGTTGCAGTTGGCCAGGGACATAAAAGGCAATAAAAAGGGACTCCACATGTATGTGAGAAGTAAGAGGAAGACCAGAGAATCAGAGGAGATTCAACAGGGACAAGTGCAAAGTCCTGCACTTGGGATGTAATAACCACATGCACGAATACAAACTGGGGAATGAGTGGCTAGGCTTCAGTACTGCAAAGAAGGACCAGGGGCTACAAAAGACCATAAGCCAACAGTGTGCTCTTCTTTTTTCTTTTTTTTTCCCCAAACAAAAGCTAACAGAATCCTGGGTTACAGTAACAGGAAAGTCAATTGCAAATCAAGGGAAGAGATTCTTCTACTCTATTCAGCAGTGGTGAGGCCCCACTTGAACTGCATCCAGTTTTGGGCCCCTCACTTCAAGAAGGATGTGCACAGTTTGGAAGGAGTGTAGGGCAACAAAAATGATCAGGGTCCTGGGAGGCAAGACTTATGAGGAAAGGCTGAAAGAACTAGGGTTATTTAGCCTGGACAAGAGAAGACTGGTGGCGAGGGGGGGTTAGGGAGTTGTTAATAACAGTTCTCAAAATACCTGGACAATAACAACAGAACAATAACAAAGAGGATGGAGATGGACTTTTCTCTGTGGCCACAGGGGACAGGACTAAGAGAAATGGCCTCAAGCTGTAGCAAAGGAAATTTAGGATGGAGATCAGGAGGGCCCTTTCTGACTTATGAGAGTGGTCAAGCATTGATACAAGCTGCCTAGAGAAACTGTGGAATCTCCATCCTTGGAAGTTTTCAAGAGCAGGTTGGACAGACACTTGGCTGGGTTGTTTTAGTCAGGGACAATCCTGCCCTGGGCAGGGAACTGGCCTAGATGGCCTTGTGAGGTCCTCCCAGCCATACTTTCTTATGAAACTATGAACTTTTGAACTATGTACTTCTTAGTCACTGAAGCTATTTATGACATGCATGGGTTTTCTTTTATAAAATGTTAACCATTCTTGCATCACTGTAGCAAGTTTTAAGTTCTCTTTGAGGAAGCCAAAGTTCAAAACGGGCACTGTACTGCACATGGATCGGAAGCAACACATTCAACGTTAGGACCTATAGGGTCCTGAATCATATCTCCCTGCTCCTTCACCTTGATCACTCAAGTCACCTGAGAGCAACCTCCTGCAAGCTTCACCAGTGCACCAAATTAGCTTGGCAAAAACTCATGGGCTGTCATCCTTGGTAGTGGTTTTGCTGCTCTGTAACTCCTTCCCCTGTGTAACTCCTGTTCCATGTGGTTCATCACAGCCTGAGCCCAGACATGTTCTGGGAATACTGCAAGACCTTTTTATTTGGGCAAACATTATCAAGCCTGGTTAATCAGGGGCGTTGTTTGGGGAGTTTGTATAAGATACCTTATGTATCTTGTTTTAATATTTAGTATTTTATATTTTAACTTCCTCCGCTGAAAGACATTTTATGACTATTTCATGATGCCTGATGAAGAGCATGGTTTACTGCTAGTTCTTGCTTATTACACTTTGAAAAGCTTAATAAAATAGGCAGTGGAAAACAGTGCTGATCTTTTTTTTTTTTTTTTTTTTTTTTAAATCTCAAGGAACTCACATAATTCAAAACAAAACATGGCCAATGGCATTCTACAGTTTCCCTATTTTTTCTTCTATTACTTTAGATGCAAATCAATTTGCATGTGACAAACAGAAAATTCATAATCAGATCAGCTGTACTCCTTTTTGCAGGTCAGAAGGCAATTTGGGGGCACTGGTGGTTACTTTTAGTCCTCAGGGATTATAAATCTGAAAACTTCATCTGCTGCTGTGGCATGTGATTTCTGAATAGTTGCCCCATTAACCTAGTTACACCCAAAAGCAATCAGCAATTTAAATCAGAACCTAGCAACAATACTGTTCTGTCTATATCAGATACATTTCTTCAGGGTTTTATGAGCTAAGGTGATGAACATATACATGCATCAAAACAAGTTTGTCTGCTTACAAGCCAGGTGCCTGATCTCCCTTCTCCCTGGAATCATAGTTCCATTGTTATTTTTTTAAAAGAAGTTTTTCAAACCAAGAAAGCAGGCTTGCTTTGGTAGTCTCATTCACACTCAGTAGATACCCGTATAAGTTGGTCCCTCTCACCCCCAACCAAGAGGCATTTAGAGACCTGAGTACCCAATTCAGATAAACTGTTTTGGGTCAAATTGTTAGAAATACTAGAATCATTCTAAGTGACATGTGAACCTATTTACACACATAAATCTGCAATAATTGGAAGATTTTTATTTATTTATTTCATATTCATAAACACCATATATGTGTGTGTGTCTCTCTCTCTCTCTCTCTATATATATATATATATATATAATAAAGCATATTCATATGCTTTATATTATATATAAACAAATAAAATAAGCTTTATTTTATATATACATACATATATATTTGAAAGACTGAATGGCTAGATATTAAATATATATATAAAGCTTAATAATCAAGGCATTGGCCACAGTGCCAGATAGGAATTTTAAAGTCTTTTACCTTTGTGCCCTCCTTCTATGGAGTAGTCTTGAGGGTCTAAATCTGACTGAATTTTCTTTGTCAAAATCTAAGGACAAAAAAATACAAGAAAACATCCAGTGAACATGCAAGATTTAAACGGTTGTATCATTGTTTCCAGTGCTGGACTTTGGGGGAAAGATGACATCTAACTTCAACAGTTGAATAAATGCACATAAATACCAAACAATGGTAAATTAAAGTCTTGAAAAAAAAAAAGTAGATGCATTGGATGTTCCATTAAGTTTTTTAATGTAGTTTGTGAAAGTGAGATATTCAGATAATTTTTTTTTTTTTTTTTTTTTTTAAACGCAGAAGAGCTGAAGCCAGGAACTCTTTACTTCTAATCCTGATTTTGGTTATATCATTCTCTGTGAAACTTGGGAAATCATTTAAAATCTTTGACTCAGTTTCCTGCAGGTTGATTCCTAACAGCACTGAATTAGTTAATCTTGACAAAACACGAGAAGTGCTAAAAGTGACAAGATTTGGTCAAAGGCAAATTTTAATAAAATCTACACGTATACAGTAAATACCAAGATGTGCTCAAATACTTATTTAATGCAACAACATAATTGATTCTTATGCCCCAAAATATTACTCCAAGCTCCCCCAAGCATTTGGAAATGACCACAATTTCTCAATAAGTGAGCAGGTTCAATTTATTTCTGGAGATGGATACATTCCACCCTTGGTTCCTGTTTGCCTGGGAACAAACTGTTACATGCAAGAGTGTTAAAAAGATATGTCTACCCATTTTATAACACACAAAGCCTTTATAGAGACCCATGCTGTAGATGTAGTCAATAGTCTGATATGGTTAACAGACTATTGAGGAAAAGTGGCTAAGCAAATTGTGCTAGAAACGAGCCATTAGCAGTTATTTAAAATAAACAAAAAAATGAGGATACCATGAGTTTCTCCTGGTTGGAGGAGGGGGCAGGGAAGATTCTGGGTCCTTCCTACAAGGTGATGTCAGTGGTTAAGAAACCAAATTACAACAGGGTTGTTTCTTGACAGGGATGAGCAGATATTTCATTTCCCAGTGTAGGTAAGACCTGATTGCTACATGAACAAGCATTAAAACAATTCAAGGGCACAGTTTACAATTAATGTAGATGTGATATAGCCAAATTTTACTGTCATTGAACTGTGCTGGGGTGTAAGATGTGCCTGACCAGTTACTTTACAAGTTAGATGAATCTTTGATATAAGCAAAGGTATTGGAAGAAAGACAATTAGGTTTAATGTGACTGGTTATCAAGGGCCATATTTCAAAAGGTCTCTTCTGCCCGTACTGCTCTCGTTCTCCTTCCATATGGCAAGAAGTCTTATAGGAGACAAGTTTAGAAGAATTAAGGAGGCAAAAAAACGCCTAACCAATTACTTTGTTCTTTAAAGTGGTGAAACAACTCAGTGTTTTAAGCAAATTTGCTAACAAGGAAGCAGCTTTCTTCTAGTTTAAAATATGCCCTTTTCCTGTTTTTTGTTGACATTGTTTCTTTCCAACTAAATGGAAAATAGACCTCACTAATCACGCAGCAGAGGCATTTTACAAGACCACAACAACATACTAAGACAAAGCTTTATGAAGGGTTTACAAATCATTACCCTAATAGTTTAAAAAAAATACTCCCTGTCAAACATTTTCTAAAAAGCCAGATTTATATTACTGTGAGAATAGCAAGTAATAATTCTCCACAAAAAACTGAACACAGTATGAGTTTGTTTAATCAAAACCAGACATGTGTAAGATTTATAACCATTCTAAAGGAATAACCTATATTACAGTTTTTGGCACTGAAACAGCTGAACCCACAAATAGGCCACAGTAATATTCTTACCCACCTTAGCCAAAAAGGGGGAGAAAAGCTTCCACAATTTAAGATTTAGAGAAGGAGAGGAAGTGGCTCACAGGGGAGGGCTATGTGTACTATTTTGACTCTTCATTGACGATGGGACATGTCCTGCTGTCTCACACTGAGAGCTCCCAGAACATTTCAAACTGTGCTGCCTTTCATAAGGCACACTCACCTGCTCCCACAAAAAGTTGATCATCATGCAGTTGTCAATACCCCTGTCTCAATTCATTCTCGTGCTTCTCAAAGCATGATAAAAAGGCAACTTACTGCATTATCAGCATCTAGTGCACCTTAAAATTAAGAAGTTAGATTCAAACATGAAAGGATAGATAAAGTAATTATGGTTCCTGGGAGGAATAATTGGGTGTAAAGAAAAAATATTTTAACATGGCTTTATTTCAATGATTAATCAAAAAAACACACATCACCTGACACACAAAATGGGAACCATGGCAATGTAATAATATTTTGCTCCTTCATTCACAGACAACCATAAACACACTTATAACCACAGCAGAAGTAGTTTCAGTATTCCTATTTACCGTTCAAAATACTGAAGTAGTAAATTATGAACTTGTTCATAAGTTTAACCATTCTGTGTATTCCCATTTCAGGGTACAAACTATGAGGTAAGCACATAGGCACACTTAGATACATACCAGTTAAAACATTAATAAGGAAAATCTAGGCACTACCTTCCTTTGTGAGTATATTTACAGACCTTACATCAGCTGCAAGATAAGCTAATTAGAAAATCCATCTAATCAGATTTTTGAAAAGTGTCCTTTGAGGAAGCAATAAAACAGACTAAATGGCTAACTGAATAATGAATACTAAAGTAACAAATGTTTCTAAGGAAGACTAAAACAGCATGCATATTATTTTTTATGATATATTATAACAAAAGAATAAAAATCAAACGGCATTCTTGTCTATCCACTTTGAACTCTTACCTTGTTCCTCAGAGTATTTAACATTTCCCAAATAGCTGGAGATCCAAGGATTTCTGAACATGGTTGCACAAACAAAGGATTCAGCAAAGAAAAACTACAATAGCAGCTAATTCTCAACCAGCCACAGCCCTAGGCCCGTCTAAGCAATATTGTGTAGAGATTTTTCATTGCACAGGACTGGAGCTGTCAGGCTAGTGCGTCCCGGGGAGTACAGTTAATGCATAGCAATAGGCTGCAAACTGAAGCAGCTCAAACCAGTAATCAGATTACAAGCAGAAATTAGGCACATGAATACTAAAACAGATTGGACCATGGTGATTGGGAGATTTGTAATATTACCACTTCAAAGCTCCAGCCAAATCACAAATTATATTCCAGTGAGAAGATTGCAGCAAGAATAATCTATACAGAAAGATATTTTCTCCAAAAGACGATTAATTCCTTCATATCTCTAATCAATCAGGATAAATTGCAAACACTACCTAACAAAGCCAAAAACAGCATTCAGGGTACCAGAGGACTGACACTGTTAATCATATCATTATGCTAAACAAATGCTGCATCATTTGCCCAACTATTAGGCCAAAAAGGAACACACCCTAAAGCAGTAAATATTTATGAACAACATCTGAGCAAAATTACTAACTAGGGGGCAGGGATTTAAGAACAGATACCAGGACTCAAAGTATTTTAATTTGAGACAGAAGGTGTAAAATTATAAGAACAATTTATCTGACAAGTAAAGTCTACCTCTATGTCTAGTTTGGGCTAGAGCTTCAGATTATGGATTCAAACAAGCAATGGAGACAGATGGAATCCTTTTGTTCCCTTCTGAATGTCTAAAAGAACTTCTTCTAAATGGATGGTTATCGCACAGCTCTACAAATCAGACGCATCTGATCATCTAAGGAGTAGAACAAACTAACCAAAGGCATGACAAAGAGGTTTTAAAGTGGCTGTAACAGAAATCAGTCCACGCACTTGAATCCAAAACAGCCAACAGCAATAATTGCTCAACTATTATAGTCTCTTTCCCCTCTTCCTCCACTCAAGAGCTAGGGACAGACATTACACATTCACCTGGTTTAAGTGATCAGAAACTGGTTTAAACCTGTAACAGAACAGATTTTCAGTACACATAAACCAGTTTGAAAATGGCTGAAACCGGTTTGAGATAAACCTGGGTTGAATGTAGTATCAGACTTAACTTATTTGGCTCAAACCGGTTTATGCAACATCTGTCCTAGACCCCTTGCTGGTTTAATATAAACCAGACACCCAGCATGCTCTCTGCTCCACAGCAGGGCTGGCCCCTCCCCTCTGCTCCCTTGGCTGGAGCTCCAGCACAGACTGCAGGCTGCTCCCCCCCCCTCCTCACCAGTCCCTGCTAAGAAGGAATCCCCCTCCTCCACTCTGCCTTGCAGGGAGCTGTCTATGCATTAGCTAGAGGACCACATGCTGGCTACAGTCCCTGCTGAATCAACAAGCAGCTGATAATGTCCCTCTGTTGTTTTCTTAATGGGGTGATAAACACTAAGTTAAGGGGTGATAACCATTGTAATCAATTCCCTGCTGGGCTAATCAAAGCGTCCTCCCAGGGTCTGACCATGCCCTCCCCACCCCCCCACCAGGTCAGTGCTGTGGAAGGGACAAGAGGGCTGCTCTAGCGTCCCCCAGCTTGTAGCCTGAGCCACTGCAGGCATGTGCCTGCATTTCTCAGATGTCTGCGCAGTTACAAACCAGTTTAGCCTAGCCAGGTTAGACTAATCTGCAAAGATTGAATCAGGCTCAAGCTTTTTTGAATGTCTGTCCCTAGCCAAGAGGATTTAAATCTTTAATACCAAAGACAGCCAAAATCGCAGGCAGGATTGCTAACAATGCTTACTTATAAACATACAGATGTACTGCCATTTGCCCATTTCACTGGTAAATACTTTGGACCAGTGATCATCTCTTATGTATGTACCTACATAACACCTAGCACAACAGGACCCTGAGCCATGACTGGAAATGCCTGAAGGCCCTGAGAAACCATCGTCAGGAAAGATAGCATTTAAGGTGTAAACCCAGGAGTGTCCAGTACAAAATTTAGTCCAAAAGAAGGGGGCAGTAGGAGGATAAATCTGCCATGGAGCAGTAGTTATACCTACCCACATCACCAAAACCATTGCTTGTCATTCTAATGTGTTGTTGTAATAGATAATACATGTTCTATATTTTTGTGAATTACTGCC